CCAGGATTACCGATTATGATCGCACGTGGTTTCTCAAAAATATGGTTCAGGAGATTGCCCCTTCCATTGGTGCCAGGTTGCCGCGTCAGCAATGGAGATATGTCATACCCCTTCTCGCTGCGGGTGGTGGGGAAACGGGGGCCTGCAAGGCGCCAGACGCGCTTCCGCCCATGCCCCCCCCCGTTTTCAGATGAAGCGCGCGCTGCCAAGGAAGACGGCTTGGCCCACCCCGAAGGGCGCGCGCTCACGACGCAGCAGGAGGTAAGCGATTTCATGCAAACCCACGTTTGCCAGGCGGAGCTGGGCAAGGTCATGGATCTCCATGGAATAATGGGCACTTTTAACAGTTTGAACTGCTGGTCTTTAAGTTCGGGGGGCCACGCTTTTCTATATAGGCTCAGCCCCCCCGCAAAACAAAAAAATGCCAAATCGCAACGCGATGCCGCGATGGCGAGCACGATCTGCAAGTGCTACCATCGCCACATCCGCCAACTAGCGCTAGACTTCTTTGCCACATGTCTGCTGGCTGAGCAGCGTGGTAACGTCGCCCACAAGGGCCCCGAGATGACCCTTCACGATTTGTATTTTATGGCTCATCTCTCTCTCAAGTCACGTGCGCCTCTGATACGTCTTCTCTAGACCTGGTCGATGCCGTTCACTCGGTTATCAAACAGTTCGCTCATTCTTTGCCAGGCGAAGAGGACAGGTTGGAGGAAACTTGTGAGAAAGCAAGGACCTCAGTGGCCTTGTATCATGGTGCGGTCGCGTCGCTGAGTGAGCTGAAGCCCCTGGAAAGCCTACCCTCCGCGCACCTGCTTGCCTTCCAACGGGGGACCCACCGGTGCGCATGCTGGCAAGTTTGGCAAGCTACCCAGCATGTACTTCCAGGCGGCGGTACTAGGCCAGGTGCGGTAGTGGCCACGTGTTTAACCTCGTGTTTCGTTCTGCCCTTCTTAAGATTCGATGCGACGTCCAGGAACTAGCCTCGGGGCTCAAAGATCTCTTTGAGATGCCCGAACTAGTGAGTGCTGCAGTTCAGGACTGGGATCAGGCCCAGCCTGACCTATCATTCGTCGACGACCTCACCGCGTCAAGAGCTGGCAACGCAGTCCGAAACACACGCCATCGCAAGCAAATCGGAAGGACCCAGGGCCAGCTTATCAGGCCCCTATATGCTGCCACGCTGGTTCCGGGCAGGCTGCGCTGTCCAGCGGAAGGGGGCGAGGAGGGGAGAAGCAAGCAGACGACGACGAACGCCCAGGCGGGAGGCCAGGGCCGGCGGGGCGGGCGGGCAGGCAGAAGACGGGCCAGGCGGAGACAGCAGGCAGGATGCAGGAGGAAAGGAAAGGGCGGGAAGCAACGAGCAGTAGCGAAGGGAGGGGGAGGAGGGGGAAGAAGAGGACAAGGAGGAGAGAAAGCAGCGACCGCAAGCAGACAGGCCGGGCCAGGGGCCGGGAGAGAAGAGCCACCCGCGACGAGGCCACGGACCCTACGGCGGCGACCTGGGCGGGGCGGCCGCCCGAGCCCAGCGCGACGCGGCTTGGTGGGGATTGCCCTCTGCGGGGCCCATCCACCGCCCCGCCGAGACAGGGCCAGACGGCGCGCGGGAGGGTTGCCGGCGCGACGCTGGCGAAAGGGCGCGGGGGGCGCCCGCGCTGCCCAGCAAAGGCGGGGGGGGGAGGGCGGCGGGCGCTAGACAGCGCCGAGGGCGCCTCACACGGCGTCTGCCGTGGAAGCCGCCGTGGCCGCGACCGGGCGGGCTGCTGCCACCCCCGCCCCTCCAGACTGGGTCTGGAGGCGCCGCAACACCGCCCGCGCGGTCTCCCCGTGCAAGGAGACGGAGAGTCGCCAGGCGTGTTGGTCCGCAACCAGTGTGGCGTCTTCCCCGGTGGCGTCAGCCACCCGCTTGGCCAGGACCGCGTCATTGTTTGCGCGCGAAGCCATGGATGTGCCCGACGTGCCCCTTGCTCTCTCAGGGATTATACATGCTGCTCGCCTATCCTACGGGCTTCGCCCCAACGCCGCGAAAACCAAGGTTTGGCATGTCCTGCGAGAAAAGGGGGGGGGAAGCATCGAGGGCTTTTCTCACGGGCGGGGCCAAGCTTTGTTTTGTCGTTATCTTCCTGCGTGCTCGGTTCGCAAGATTCTCGGGGCCCAGTTTGACATTTGTAGCAATGTGGCCAACGAGGTCACGGCCCGAACTCTGAAGGCGCGTTCGGCTTTAGTCCCTGCCAAGGCGACTATAGGGCCCCCGTCAGGCCCTCCCTTTGCCGGCTAAGATTACTTACGCCGAGGCGCTGTCTGCCTCTGTTATTTTCTGCGGCGTGTGTTTTGGCCTCGCCTTTACAGGGGTTCAGGAACAAATGGTGAAATCCCCGTGCTGCGTTGAATCTGGCGTCTTCCAACAACGCCAACGCCCGTGATCCAACGGCCAAGGGGCATCGCGACACAGGAAGGTTGCCCTGCGAGCATGTGATGATCATCTCCCGACTACGGCATCTCATCCGCATGTTCGCTCATGCGCCCCCCCCCCCCCATTATTCGCGCGTTGATTGGCCTCCGTCTACTTCCATATGAGAACACTTGGAACACCTGGATTGCTAAGGATTCCGGGAAGCGTCGCTTCTATATCAAACCCGAGAAACGTCCAAGCCACAGCTCTGTCGCTGACGTTTTTGCCTCTGCGGAGCACCAATCTGAGGATGTCCCCCCCTCATTGCGCTGCACTTCGGACGAGGCTAAGCGAGTCAACGAAGACAGACAACGCCTTATGACTTGGGAAGGGGGGCTCAGACTCACGGCGAAGGGAGACCCGCTTGCCCAAGATCATGCTCCACACCCCGCCTTTCGTTGCCCCTTTCCGCGCCGCGCCCTCGTCCTCGGAGCAGGTTGCAAGGGCGCGCGCGGGGCGCAATCGCAAGGGTGCGGATTCTCCGACTTCTTTGGCGACTGGGTCCTTGCGCCAAATGTGCCTGCGGGAAGTTTCGAATGCCGCGCGCTTGGCGCAGCATCTCCGGGACGCCCCTTCCTGTCGGGTAGCTTGGGCCTCTGGCGGGGCCCCGATTCCGCAGGGTGAACTCAACGCCGCCATCAGTGCTTCTAATCGATCGATCGGGGGATCACCTTCCTTTGCTTCCTGCCCCCTGTGCAGTGTGAAGGGCCTGTGATAGCCCCTCGGATCCAATGCATACGCTGTCAGGCGAGACAGAACAGAGTGCAAAAGGATGCCGTTCCCCCCGCTCCCGTTCCCTGCGCCTCTGCCTTTCTCTCTTGCTCCCTCACCTGTCAGGCAGTCCACATTTGCGCTCCACCTGTTCTCGGGAATGCGGAGAGACAGGGACGTCCAATGCTACGTTGAAGGAGCGCGCGGACGGTTCCCCACCGACCTGCACGCGCCCAGTATAGACGTGGCGAACCACCCCATCCACGGAGATCTCTCTTCGGAGAACGCGATGCAGCCATTGCTCGCGATGCTGCGCTCTGGCCGACTCGGCGCGGCGTTGGCGGGCCCCCCTTGCGAAACCTCGTCCGCCGTCAGGCGCGCCCCCGTTCCCCCTGACGCCCCTGGTGGGCGTGGACCCCCGCGCCCGCTGCGGTCGCTTGAAGAACCCTGGGGGCTTGGGCACTTGACCTCTCGCGAGCACCAGCAAGTACGTCTTGGGTACATCCTCTTGCGTGCTACTGCTCGTTTGCTTTACGAGTGTTGGGTTCTTGGGGTCCATGCCATCATGGAACACAAGGCCACCAACCAGCGCCTTCCTCTGGCCCCTTCATCGTGGAAGCTCCCCGGATTACGCAGACTGGCCGAACTCCCTGATGTCTTCTCAGTGCGCAGTGGTCAGAGCATGTTAGGGGGTCGCGCCCAAAAACCCACTGTTCTGCTAGCGGTGGATGTCCTTCCCTCCGTGCGATTGTGGAGGCTCGAGTAGGGGGGGGAGGTGTACCCACACCTTGGGCCATGGAGGCGTCTGGGGGGTCGGCGATCATGGGCTCTGGCGCACGTTGCACCTCAAGGTAGATCCCCCAGCGATGTGTCAGACGATTGCCACCGCGATTGTAGCAGAAGTAGGGATGAGGCACCCCGAGATCTGCGGCGATGATCGGAACGACACGCAGCCTCTTGACCTGACCAGGCCACCACTCCGATGGACTATGTTGGATGAGCGGGCTCCCAGAAGGATCTTTGATATCTCAGACAGTGACGACGGTTGGGGGTACCCATATCTCTGAGGCGGCTTGCCGCCAAATTGGAACCTTACTGGTGCGTGTTACGGCGATGGACTGTATGGTCCACAATCCCCGTGTGCCGACCCTGTGACGACCACGGCTTGCTTCCTGTGCTTATTGCCTTTATTGTTGTTATCATTATCACTGTTGCAGAACTGACCTGAGCAACAGCGTTAGAATGCTGGAGGAGGGCTCTGGAATGAAGGAATCCGCCCTCAAGAGGGCTGCACGGTGCGCGGCCGTTTAACTCGCAGTACTTCCAGAGTGTGGCGAGGCATGCCTGCTTCGCCTGCGCCTTAGGCAGTCTCCAGTTTTTGATGTTGGGGAAGGCCTCGTCTTGTCCTGTCTCTATGTATGTCCTTGTCTTTCTCTAGCCGCATCAGCTTTGCAGATAGTACCCTTGTTGCTCCACATGCTGTGGCTGCGCCTCGTGCATTGCAATACGGTGGTCCACACTCGCTGCCTGCTGTGCTGACCTCATGGGCTTCTCGTCTCTTTCTCTCCATAATGGCAAAAATTGTCCGTCATGCGACCGACCGACCGACCGAGGAGGAGGAGAAGGAGGAGAAGAAGGAGGAGGAGGAGAAGGAGGAGGAAGGGAGGGAGGGAGGAGGAGGAGGAGGAGGAGGAGCAGGGAGGAGGAGAAGGAGGAGGTAGGAGGAGGAGGGAGAAGGAGGAGGAGAAGGAGGAGGAGGAAAAGGAGGAGGGAGGAGCAGGAGGAGGAGGAGGAGTAGCAGGAGGAGGAAGTGGTCCGCCGCCGCGCCGCCCGGGGCCTTCTTGGAAGGGGGGCCGGCATGCCCTTGGGCCTCACCCAGCGCCGCCAGGCGGGCCCGCAGGCCGGCGGTGGGGTCACCTGCAGGGACCGAGCACTGGCACCAGTCCTCCTGCCTGATCCTCCCCCTCCATCGTCCTCCATCGTCCTCCTCCTCCTCCTCCTCCTCCATCATCCTCCTCTCTCCTCCTCCTCCTCCTCCTCTTACCTCCTCCTTACCTCTCTTACCTCCTCCTCCTCCTCCTCTCCTCCCGTCCTCCTCCTCGTACCTCTATACCTCCTCATATCTTCCTCCTCGACCTCCTCGACCTCCTCCTCCTCTCCTCCACCTCCACCTCTTACTCTTACTCCACCTCTTCCTCCTCCTCCTCCTCCTCCTCCTCCTCCTGCTCCTCCTCCCTCCTCCACCTCTCCTCCTCCTCCTCCTCCTCCTCCTCCTCTCCTGCTGATCTTCCTGATCCACTCCTCCTCCTCCTCTCCTCCTCCTCCTCCTCCTCCTCCGCTGAATCTTCCTCCTCCCCTCCTCCTGCTGATCTCCCTCCTCCTCTTTCCTCTCCTCCTCCTCCCCCCTCCTCCCCTCCTTCTCCTCCCTCTCCTCCCTCCTCACCCCTCATCCTCCCTCTCCTCACCCCCTCCTGCTCTCTCTCCTACCTCCTCCCTCCTCCACCTCCTTCCTCCCTCTCTCCTCCTCCTCCTCCTCGTCCCTCCTCCTCCTCCTCCTCCTTCCTCTCCTCCCTCCTCCCTCCCTCTCTCTCCTCCTCCTCCTCCTCCTCCTCCTCCTCCTCCTCCTCGTCCTCCTCCGCCTCCTCCTCCTCCTTCGTCCTCCTTCGTCCTCCCTCGACTCTCTGATGCTCTTCCCCTCCCCCGGAGGGGGCGGGGGACAGGGACGGGCCGGATCTGTAATTATAGCTGCGCGAGAGCGCGCCTGGAGGGACCGAGCAGAAGAAGGGATAACACATGCTAGTGATCCCCCCCCTTGCTGGGGTGCACAGGGACATACTAATACGACATGTCCTCCTTGGAGGCGCGCGTCCGACCCGAACGTATAGGACACCCATCTTGTAGTACATCGTTTCCCGAGCGGTGTGGCCAGATAGCGCCCGCCACGACGCACATACTATAAGAGTTCTCGGTGCGCGCGTCGCCGCTGGGAAGGCGCGACGCGATGTTGGAATGACGCCGACTGTAATCGCTCGCTTTCCGAAGTTCTCCCCTCCGATGAACTTATCAGAGCCCGTAGTTCTTCAGAGAGCGAAATGCGAGATCGAGAAGTTGCTGATCACCGAAGGCTTTCCCATATCGCACGCGTAGTAGCTCAAGGGCCCTGTAGGGGCCAAGCGGCAGCAGGAGTCTCTCCTGTTGCTTTGCACACGCACCCACGCACACACACACAACTTGACTGTACAGTTCACAAACGAAATACAGCGTACACGCGAGACCCGTAGAAAAGGGGGCCTGAAACAAGAAAGTGAAAGAAGCTTCTCAATGGTAGGAAACTGCTGCAACATGCAGCCGAATATGAAGACAGCAGTGTCCAACACAAAATTTGCCAGCCGGCGTGACTCGGCTGGCATGTGCGTATGCTGGCGCGTGCCTGCACAGTCTCAGGGGTCGTCTCGCCGTCCCGCCGGCCTGGGCGAAACCCTGCGTGGCGGCGTGTGCGAACCGCCACTGGCCTCTGCTGAGCTCGTAGGTGCAAACGGTCGCACGGCTTTCGAAGGGAGGGATCGTTTCGGACCCCCCCCCCCCAGTTTTGCAAAGGGAGGGGGGCAGGTGCTTGCTCTGGGGACCCTGCTGGATCCACTTGCTCCACTCATGCGTTGATGCTGCGCTGAAGTGGAGTCGAACCAATGCCAACTTTGAGTCGAAGTAAAATCGAACTAGACTCGAACAGTAATCGGCCAGATCCGTTAGGCGGGCCCCAGGAACGCCCTACAAACGAGCATCTAAGGGGATAGCTTGAAACTGGGCCCCCCAAACATCTGCCACATCGCTTGTGTTCGATGAGTGGCCTTCCGCATGTCTCAACCGTCTCCTTCGAACTGTTTTTCAACCTGGACCGTTGTTTGACTGTCCCGAAGCCCCCCCAAAAAAACCACCAGGGGCAAAAAACCCAATCGGACAAGAACGGGAAGAGCCGATTGTGCCCAGTGGGCTCGTAGAGGGGAAAGAAAAGAAACACAAGGACGAGGAGGAAGAGAAGGTGAAGGACGAGCGCAAGGAGAAACGAAGCGGATGACGAAAAGGAAGAGGAGAAGGAGGAAAAGGACCACCACGACGAAGGAGGACGTTAAAGAACCCCAGGCAAAGGACGTCGAAGAAGGGGGCTCCTCGTGATCTTTGAGGCTGCCGTCGGAGTTGTTGGGGCCGTCTAAAGCTATCTTGGAGTATCCTGGGGGCCTCTTGGGGGCCTGTCGGGGTTCTCTCTCGGGGGCTACTAGGGTCTTCTTGGGCAGTCTGGGCGTGCCTTGGATTTTGTGGGGGCCCTCTCAAGCCGTCTTGGCGCATTTCGGGCTATCGGGGGCCTCATTGGGGCTCTCTTGGGGGGGCCCAAACGACGCCTGCGTGCACCACAACGTTTCTGTACACCACCCGTTGCCGCAGCAGCCGTGGCAACAACCGCGTGCACGACGAGGCCCCCGTGCCTGCGTGCACCTCCCGGGGCCTCCGGGCCACGTCGGTCGTCGTCGTCTTCGTCCTCCTCTTCCTCTCCTTCCTTCGCCCCCTCCTTTTCCTTCTCCTCCTCCCCCCCATCGCCATTTTGGCTCAAGGCTAAACGCTGCGAAGGGCTATAGACGCCCTGGAATCAGCGATTAGCTTTGGCTGCCTGCCGCAGCCAAGACTCAGACCATTTTGGCCACGTTTCGTCCACAGCAGCGTGTGGACCACCCGCCCCACCCGCGGGGCCTTCTTGCACTACTCGTCCTGGGATTCGTTCTAGCGCTTGGGAAGGAAGCGGGATGGCGCGGGGCAGATATCTCGTATGCCCCTGGCGCAGTTGCAGCGGCTGGGCCTGGGCGGATCGAGGAGCTTCGCATTGCACCAGATGTGGCACCAAGCTCGCTACGCAGAAAATGTCCGCAGGAGATGACCTGGCTGCCACGGGCGCCCCCTCTCGTTCCCACCGGCCGCGCTCAGTTTCATTCGCAGCAGAGGCAGAGCAGCCGAAGGCAGGTCGAGGTCGATGGCGAGCACGATCCCGAGATCCTCCAGCAGCAGCACAGTCAGCACCACCTGTTGCGCCTGAGCCCCACCCCGACGGATGTCAGCCCGCCACCGCCGCCAAGCCTGTCGCGGAGCACAGCTCCGCCATCGAGTTGGCCCAGGCGCAGGTGGCTTTCTGGAAGCAGTGGAAAGGAGACAGCAGCACAGAGTATCGCGACGCCGTCGACTGTCTCAAGCAGGCGAAACAGTGTGCCCTCCAAGAGAAGACGCCAGATCAGCAAGTCCAGAGCCTCACAGACCAGCTTGGACAAGCCAAGCGCAAGCTCGGACACAGCATGAACACGGTCAACCAGCTCACCCAGCAGCTGGTCACAGGCGTAGAGAAGCACGCCAGAGCTTTGGACGACTACCAGGAGGCACGCAAGGACGTGCATCGCCTGCAGACGCAGCTGCAGGTGGTCCAGCACGCCGCGGCCCAGCGCATGGCGAAGGAGGTGCCGATGTCGGATGCCATGCGCTCCCTCATCGCCGCGAAGATCGACAAACCTGCTGAGCACATTCCGAAAGAGCTCGACCAACACCTCCTGGCCATGGCGAGCATCCTCGAGTCCATTGAGCATCGCCAGAAGGCGACGGGGGAGAACAGCAACGACGAGGACAGGTTCAAGGCCGAGGATCGAGCTGACGATAAAGAAGACCCACTTCCAGGAGAGGGCCAGGATCCCGAGGGCGAGACTACGAAGGCCGAGGTCCACCCAGATGCCTCTGCCCAACCTGTCCCCAGTGACGACGACGCGCAGATGGAAACCGCCAGGAAGCGCGCAGCCGAGCAGCTCGTCAACTGCCAGGCCAACATCGCCAAGCAGGAGCTCCACGACAATGACCAACAAGAAGCTCAAGCTCACGGAGAAGACTGCTGCTGCCCCACATGTCGCAGAACGCCCTGCGGTCCCAGCGCGTGGGTAACAACATCCGCATCACTACCATCAACGGCAGCTGCTGGCTTCAGGTCAAAGAGTACATCCTGTCTGAGTATGCCACAGATGACCGCGTCATCTGCGCACAGGAGACCAAGCTGCGCACCGCGCAGTCTATCACTTACGCCAGTCAGTGGCGTGAGCGTCATGGATGGACAAGTTTGTTTGGGACGGGCGCATTCAGTTCTACAGGCGCCCCGTCAGCTGGAGTTTGTGATTTGATCAAGGATGGACCACAGCCATTTTACATAATGAGTATCAGATGCCCATATTCATAGCAGGGGACTTCAACATGAACCCTACCAATCTCAGCAAGCACGATTTCACACTGCGCGCAGGCACACAAATCGCACGCCCCTCCTTCCCCCGCGTGCAGAACCAAGACCTCCCAAAGTTGTTTGGACTATTTTTCTACAGTGGATGCTTTGCAACGCGTACTTCATGGTCCCCAAGTACACGCAGCATATCCATTGCCCCCGCACCGCCTTGTAAGTATATGCGTCGAGGTGGGGGAGAATTTCACAGCCCCTGTTCTCTGCAAGCCGCGGCGCCCGCCCACCAAGCCCGCTTTTGGGGCCCGAGCCCCCTGGGCGAGAGTGGATCGCCACGGAAGCAGCGCTCGACGCCGCAGAGGGGATCCTGGATAACGAGACTGCCGCGCCGATCCAGGAGGGAAACAAGCTGCCCTTGATCAAGCCTATCATTTTCTGGCCAGGAGCGACTTCTCGGCCCAGGGTTTTGCCCTCCCAGGGTCAAGTGGATCCCAGCGAAACAACGTTTGAAAGAACGTCGCGTCGCCTGGAAGTCTCGCGCTGGACCCCGCGCTGGCTTAGGAATCTCGCGCACCAGTTATACTTCAAGTATGCGAAGTTAGACGCCAACGACCTTGGCAAAATTATCGAGTGCCTCGAGGACCCACCTACGGAGTTGAACGAATCA